TAACAGCAGTCTGTTGTTGTTGTTACTGTTATTGTTGTTGTTGTTGTTGCTGCTGTTGTTGTTTCTGATGGATGCAGAGCCGTTGCCATGGTGATAATACGCTGGTCAAACATAGATAAGTGTGTCTCTGTCTCTCTCTGGAGCTGCAGACCTCCAGCGGAGCTCAGCGGGCTGACAGCCGCTCTGGCTGCCTTCTCGGGTGGGGTGCGGGCCTCGGGCGTGTCCGCCCCTCGGCTGATGGGGATCCGGTTTTTTCCAGTCGGTCCTCCCGGTTTAAACCGCAGCAGGCTCTGAGTCCCCGCTTCAGGTTCGAGCAGCAGCAGCAGCAGCAGCAGCAGCAGGATGGCCTCCAACACCGCCACCATGGGGAACCTCCCGAGAGGGATCGGAATATGTACGACCATCCCCGACATCCTCTACCTGCCGGAGCTGGTAAGAGACAGCAGGAGCAGTTTCAGTTAGTTCTCTGTGATTGTGCTGCGCGCTGCAGACACAGAGCTGATGGGTGCAGAGGTTCATAGTCAGTGTGTGCTTGGTTCTGCTGTCCACACAAGTTATTGAGCTGAAATCCTAAAAGTGAAAATATTTCTCTCCTTTCAAGTAAAACAGGGGGGGGTGTTGGTGGGTGGAGACTTTAAGGCAGAGACCAGCAACTTTAATCAAAAGACACATTATTTACATAAATAAATACAAAAGTAAATCTCTTAGAGCCCATGTGTCTGCAGGTCAAACAGCGGGGCAGTGCACAGTGTATGTGGAGTATACACACTTATTTCTCAGTCAGCTTTGGGTAAACACCCCGATAATGAGTGTGTGTTTTTCTAGGATGGCGAAGGCATGACACAGTTGTCCAATTTATTAGGTGAAGTAAAGAATACTTGTAATAATGCATCTTTGTGTGTGTGTGTGTGTCTCCCCTGCAGTCTGCGGGCCTGCACTGCCTCAAACACAGAGACTGTGCAGATCCTGCTGGCTCTGTTCATCACACAGGGCGGGTTTACACACCACTGTCAGACTATTTAGGCTCCAGATCAGGACGTAACCAATGACGACCATTTAAGTTGAAGAAATGCTGATTTGTGTAAAGGATACACACTGAATATAAGAGTCACTGTACAACAATGATAAATGAAAATGTTTCAATAATAAGTTATTCATGACCTTATAATGTGTGACAGTCACAGCTACCTGCAGTCAGAAATATCTGCTGATTTAATCACAATTATCAGTATTTACTTGGAAAACCTTCAAATGAAGATATTTGAACTTATTGTCGCACATTAGTAAAGTCTTTTTACAGATTGATGTCTTTTTTAATGGAGCTTGAGCCGATCACTGAGTCTTAAATGTGTCCATAACAGCTCAATAAATGACAGAACACATTATTGTTTTAAATGAATGTGTTAACATTGACCAAACTGAGGTGGCCAGAAATATTTCATCACATTCATTCTCTTGGTTTAACCACCAGAAATCTCCAAGTTATAAAATAAAACAACAGCCTGCAGCAGTTCACTGTTACCTTCACACTGTTTGTGTGAAATGACATAAAGTGACTTTCTGTGCACTTTTATTGACTGAGCGATAAATACAGATAACGGATAAATGTGACTTTTTCAGTTATGATCCACAGACAAACACAAAAGTTCAGATTTTTCATCAGTGATTCAGAAAATATTGATCTGATTCATAAACAATGCAGGAAGCTAAAGAGTGAAAGAGGTCTGACTTTAAACTGAACTGTGTGAGCCATTTGATTCTGATTCTGAAGCTTTTTAATGGATGTTTGTGTTAATGATTATGTTCTATTGATTTCTATTCACCTCAGTAACAGTGCTTATCACAAACACACAGCTCCATCTTGTGAATTCAACCCTAATTCAGTGGTAAACGTGGTTTCCATGACAACCACAGGAACAATAAACATTTTAAGGATTTCTGTGCGTTTGGCAGATGTTATAATTTGAGCCCCAGTGCTCCTCATTCATTATCAGTGTCTGTAGGTTTCATCTGCTTCCTCTCTTGCTCTCAAAGTGCATCAGATTGATGCATTTAAAGGTTCACCTCAGCCCAAATCTTAATCAAACCAGAGTTAATGTTGATGTGTTGGGAGGAGGTCAGGGGTCACGGCAGCCAGATGTTAGACAGTATGATTCCTCGAGTGAATCTGCGTGACGGAGGAGAGATCAGAATGTAACGTCAGGAGGCATCACGCCCCGACAGACGTCAGCAGAGGAATGCTGCAGGGCCGTTCACACCTGCTCACGCGTTAACTGACTCACAAACAGTGTGTGTCAGTTCATGCAGGTGGAGTCTGAATACTGAGTAATGCAGCCTGTTAATCATCAGAGGTGCAGCGAACAACGCCCTGCGCTGTGCTGGGAAAACAGGGCACACAGAATAATGGTCAGGTTGAATCAGCATTATATGGAAAGTGTTTCCTCCCTGGCACAGTGACACAACTCACTGTCTCTCACTAAACTCCATCAAAAAGCCGCTGTTGGATGCAGCTTCAGTGCCGTCTTAGTGTTAAACGTTAACATTTAATGGTTTTTCCTCTTTATACAGAAATGTTTATGTTTTCATTACCTGGTCAGGTATATCTATGAGGCCACAATGGGCAGATTACCCAGGTATATTTGCTCTAAGTTTGTGTTTGTAGATAACACCAACAACCTGGTGCCTCCTCTGCAGACTGAATCAGGAAAAAGGAGTCTTCTGTTTTTTGGTCTTGACCTCCAGTCTAGACTCAATCTTTCTCTTTACACAATGTTCTTTTTTCATTTTTTACCATTCGTCGTGTACTGTTCTGTAATATCCTCTGTGTGTGTGTAAAAGAATCTAATATAATGTGGTTTTTCAGCACTGATACAGTTACTGATTATTAGTAATCAAAGAAAACTGATAACCAATATTTGGAACCGATATATATATATTTGCTGTAAAAATAAAAATATTATAACCCTAACCCTTAACTTGAGTAGTTTATGCTACTTTATGCTACTAATATTATACATTTTACTGCACTACCTTTATTCAATAACCTTAGTTACTTTGCAGATTCACATTATTAATATCAAAGATAAATCAATCAAATCATAAATGATGATACATTGTTATAGATTAACATTAATTTAGCGACAGAGCCTTCTCTGTAGCTGCCCCTCCCTCTGGAACTCTCTCCCCAAACCCATTTCGTGACTGTACCGACCCTCCAACATTCAATCTCTGACAAAAACACACTTTTATAAAATGGCTTTTAATGTTTAGCTTAGTCCTGATGTTTTTTATGTTTTACTATTTGATGTTGTTTTGCTCTTTATGCTTTTTATATGTAAAGTGTTTTTGGAGTATCAAAAAAGCGCTTATAAATAAAATGTGTTATTATTATTATTATTATTATTATTATGAATCTACCAGCAGTATATAAAACCACTAAAATGAGCTCCACTTACCAGCTGTAACATTAAAGTCAACATATATATATATCAATAATAATAATAATAATCCAGTAATATAATATCTGAAATAAGACATTCTTTTACTTCTACTTTAAGTAATGCAGGACTTTATATTTATACACTGTAGTATTACTACTTTTACTAAAGTCAGCGTTAATCTTGTGTTTAATGAAATGCTGTAGTATTACTCTAGTATTACTTGTGACATGTAACCAATCAGATGCTGTGTATGGGACACTGAGTGAGACTACAGCATATTTTAAATGAATTTAAAAATAAAATATCGGATCCGATAGTCATCTATCTGTAATACAAAGACGCAGACGTTCCGATGGATCAGTCGTAGTGAACATAACGGTGAGTATCAGTAAAACAAGTGTTGGGAGTAACGTGATGATCAGCTGTGTCTCTGGTGTTCCTGCAGATCTTCGGTGGTCTGGTGTGGATCCTGGTGGCAGTCACTCTGGTGGTGCCAGCGAACCCTCAGGGCTGGGTCATGTTCGTCTCCGTTTTCTGCTTCATCATGACTTTTATCTGGATGGTGGTGTTTGCCTGCGGGGGGCATCACAACAAAGGCAGCTGGGCTGCAGCAGTAAGTCCGTTTTACTCCACAATCTGGACCACAACTCACTGCTGTTCTTGCAATGAGTAATCCCAGAGTCCGTCTGCTCTCCGAACTATGTTTCATCATTAATAACAGCATTAATAATGAGCATAATAATGAGCACATCACATTCAATTAGGAAACTGGTTCAAAAACAGGCACACAAAGGGCAACCACTTACAGCACACTGCTGATAGAAAGCAATTAGAGTCCAATTCTCTGGTAATGATCCTGATCAGTCTGATCACTAATCAATATTCCCATTATTAAAGCATTAATCAAACTGATACCGTCAGACAGCCTTATCAGACTTCAGCAGTTAACTAGTGTTTCTGTAGTGGAGACAAACGTTAACAATGATCCATATTAGCAGTTTGAATCCAACTAAAGACAGAAAATGATTTCCTTTGTTGGGTGGGGAACCCGGGGAGTCAGTCCTTGTCCAGGAATCTACAGTGAGATCCAGCAGTGCACACTCACTGAGAATGGACTTCACAGTGAAGGAGCAGACATCTTGTGTTACATTATTACATTATTACATTTACATATTTATAGATTGTGTCATTTGTAATGAGGTAGACAGAGTAGAGAACCTTTTACAGACCAGACACACGTTATTGTTCCAGACTGTTTGTATGGATGTCTGGAGGGGATCTTTAAAGTCACGCCACAGAAAGTTTCTAATGCTCCTCTTCCTCATCTGTCAGGACTTTGCGTACCACGGCATCGCTGCCTTCTTCTACCTCAGTGCTTCAGTGGCTTTGGCCAAAGTGACCCTGGAGATGAAAGATGGGACCAACTTCCGAAACTACCAGCTGGACATCTCTGCTGTGGTGAGTCATGGGCTGTAATAATACTGTAATAATGTTACTGTTTTAAAACAGAAAAACAACCAGGTTTGTTGTGGATCTGCTGATTAAACCAGAATGAAAAAGTTACCCAAAGCTTAAAAGTTTGACCTTCTCACATGCACCTGAACACACCACAGAGGAAACATAAAAGTGAAGGAGTGTAACTGATTCCCGTGGATGATGTTGAGGATGAACCCGGAGGATTGTGGTGACCCCTCATGTTCTCTCTGTCTCTTCAGGTCTTCTCGTACGTGACCACTCTCCTCTACTTCATCCACACCATCCTGTCTGCCATCCGGTGGAAATCTTTCTAAAGGTTTCTGAACCAGAACAGGACTGATTTTATTCTTTAAGCTTAGATCTGTGGACGCTGACATGAAGGGAGGGCTGAGGGAAGAAGGAGCGTCCGGCTTTCTGAAGCAGGATTCAGCCGACCCACATGGTTTGTGAAACAGAGCTGCTCCATCTGGTCTGTTAAGATCCACAGAAATGTCCAGATACTGCGGAGCCTCATGTGTTCACTCTGATACTGCTCATGTTTTTCCTCTGATGAAATGTTTTAATTTGTGTTTGGTTATTCTCTCAGCTGATGAAAGAAAGCGTCTGATCTGGCTGCTTTTATACTTTTATAAGTTTCTATAGAAAAAAAACTGAACCAGGATGTAAACTGTTAGAACTGACTGCTTCATTTTTGTAAAACTAATGAATTCATTGAAAATGAATAAATGTGTTTGCTTTGAAACGTACGAGACAAACGTGTCAAAAGGATCACTTTTATTAAAATATGAGTTGAATGCATGATATTGGATTTTGTCCGATGCTGATAAGCACTTTAAGTCTCTCCTGTAGTAAAGGAACAAATGATTATGACTTCTGTTATGGTGATGAACCACTGCAGACATAAATTAAATGAATTAATATTCATCCCACAGCCTCGTCCTGCGTCAGAAAGCAAACAGTTGTTAGATCAATAATCGATAAACAGTGAATCTGTCAGAAAGAAGAATATTAAGTCTGATTGATAAAATGATAAAAATACAGAATACAGACAGAGAATGGATCAATATATCAGGAAAACTCATCTCTGATCAATATTCACAGGAAATAATCAAACTTCCTGCAGTTATTGTGTTCACTGTTTGGGTTCATTGATCAGTTGATCAGCTGTTCTCTGCTGTTATTGTTATTGATTAATAGAATATGAAATATACATGTGTCACTTAGTGTTCTCAATGATAGAACAGGGCTCCCCTATATAAAGATGTTGGGAGCAGGGGCTTAAACTCAATAATAAATGAATTCAACAATAGGACGACAGCTTGTAGCCCAGACTGGTGGTAATGATTGAGATGAAGGCTCTTTAGATTGATAATTAAATGTGTAGCCTTGAAGGACCAATCACTGCAAATAGCAACTTTAACACACTTCCACATCTTCGGCTTACACTGGTGAAACCTGCAGGAAACTTATTAGCATCTCCATAAGACTCAATACTATCAGACTTCTTTTCTGCAGCCCACAGAGCAATCAGAATCAGAATCAGAATTTTGTTTATTGCCAAGTAGGTTTTCTTTTTTTTCAAAAGGCTTAAGTGGAGTCTTCCATGTATCTGAGGGTTGCTGGGACATACAAACATTCAGTTTTATGGGTTTTAAACTGGGGCCTGAGCAGCAGCACTGAGATCAACAAGAAGAACATGAAACCAGGTTTAATGGAGTATGGCAGGGAGTAAATACAGGGCAGGCTGCCACACACACACACACACACACAATGTAAGGCTGATCAGCAGTGTGGCGGGTCAGTGAACTGTAGCTGTGATGGATAATTGATGAGGGAAGGCAGCAGGTGATAATAGTAAAGCATCATGAAACTGAAGAAGACAGAGGCTGCAGCTGGTCTGAACAACAACCTTCAAAATACGTCTCTTTGGACATGTTTATCTTCATGTTGCAGAATACAGTGATATTTTATCGATGCAGTGCCCAAATAAATTTTTAGGCAATAATATCTCTGGAAACTTTACATATTTGATTAACACCTGTAGCTGATCTTGTAATGCTATTTGATGTCTGTTTGGCTAAAGTTGTTCTGTCCAGTAAAATCTTGTAAATATCTGTAAATATCAGTCAGCAGAAGAGGAATGATTGACAGCAGCAGCAGCAGAGTGTCAGACTGCAGAGTGACCAGCAGGAGGCAGCAAGATCCACACAAACACAGACAGAAATAACATGGAGAGACTTCAGGGTGGATTCAGAGTCACATTAAAACACTTCTGTCAGGTTAATGAAGGCTTTTAATCACAACTGATGGATGGATTAAAAACACTGGTGCAGCAGCTGAGAAACATTTATTGAAAAAAACTCTTTATTTTAACTGAATGGTTGGATGGATTAAAAACACTGCCCCAAAAAACAAAACAAAATGTGGTAAAGTTTAAGGGAGCTACTGACCACTGCATCTACATCAGCGGTTCCCAATCTTTTCCCTTAATGGAGCCCTTTTCTATCAGTGAGTAAACTGACTGTGTATTATCTATATTCCATATTCTATTGATCAATAACAATAACAGCAGAGAACAGCTGATAAACTGATCAATGAACCCAAACAGTGAACACAATAACTGCAGGAGTTTGTGGAGATTTGGATGAATGTAGAGCAGTTTATTTCCTGTGAATATTGATCATTGATGAGTTTTCCTGGTATGTTTATAGAATTTTTGATAAATTCAGTGTTTTCTTCTCCCTGATACTTCTATTAACTCTTTGGTTGTTTTAACTGTGAATATAGCTTGTATTCAGGGGAACCTATTTGTTCTGTTTTTTTTTGTATGTGCATTAGTTAGAAAGGCGTTTTGGTTGTATTGTACTAAACAAGCTGCTGAATGGATTCATGGATTCAGCTAACGTTGGCTGTGATTAAGGAGCGTTTCAGTTGGCAGATTTCCACACTGGGTTCTGATGTTAAGCACTTTGACAGATAGCTGTTTTATACACCACATGCTTTTATTTCAGCCAAACGCAGCCTCTTCCAGTGCAAGCACAACTCAGGTGTATTTTCTATAAAGGCTCCATTTTCTTACTGGGATTTTGTTTTGTGTGATTGTGGGTCCAATATAACCCTTGAAAACTTACAGTTCTCTAGAGTAAGTTAGTCAAGGGACAGTAAAAATAATCCAGAGTTTATACTTCTCATCAAATTGGCAACTTAATGCTGCTAATTTCATAAAAATGACGCTGTCTGATGCAGAAATATTTGACTGAAAACTCCAAACAGATCGGCCGGGAGCCGGGTCAGCCCCTCAGGATATTTTCTGCTGCATTTTTTCATTATTATTTCCTGTTAGCCAATACCTTGGGACATCACACACTGATAACGAGCACCCACAACTCAGGGCTGTTTGGTCTCGGGGGGGACACAGCCATCCTTTTTTGGTGCATGTTTTTAGTAAAATGATCTAAATGAAAATACTATGGTACTGCAATCACATTAATAGTCATACAAGTATTACAATCGGCAGGGAGTATCCTGAAACAAAGGGGAAAGTAGAAAAAATCTGGTGCTTGATGCAGATTTGTTTAAGAATATCCCCAACAACAAAATCTCTACTTGACAAATTCTCATAAAAAAATATTATTTTCTGACACTTAATATCAATATGTCAATATCCCCACCTCATATGTATATCAAAACAACTTGCCACATTCACAAGCTTCAGTTTGAGCCCAAGATGAACTTTCTATTTTGAAAATTATAGTTCCCATGGCCAAAATTATTCACTATACCTCAAGTCAGGGAAAATAGAATTGTGAGCCTATAGCACTACTACCAAATGGAGGAAAGCATATATCTAACAATATGTTCACATGTACTGCTACTAATGCTGAATCTGAAGTGAAGAACACGAACAGTGAGTACTACAGTAGAAAAACAAATACATTTAAGTGGAATTTAACATATTTTTATGTCGTATGCACAGAGAGCTTGTCCAAACTAATTTACCCAATACACTACAGACTAGCTTAGCATCAATAGGTATGCATATTGTGCACCTAAGTACTTAATATGACTTAGATAAACACTCTAAATACAGTCAAAAGGAGAAACAACAACTGAAAAAGAACAACTGAAAAAGCCAAAGACAGGGAGCTTCAGAGCCCCTGGTTTCTACCCTTTACCTAATTTAAAATGACCATTTTTCCATCATTGACCCAAATAAACATGTTTGTAACAGAAGAACTGTATGTAATGCATGTACGAGGACTCATGTCAAAGGCAACAAGCTCTACTTTATAAACATGTGCTCATTTAGTATTGGGCTAAAGCACAACCCACACCACCTCAGCTTGAACATGACCTACTGGCCTATAAATCAGGGCATTTCTGGTCTATAATTATTATGCACGTTAGAGGTTTCTGTCAACAGTGCCGAACTAGTAATATCAGAAAACAACAAAGCTTCATACTAAAACATAACTACATGTACTTGGAATTGCAAATAGAGTCTCTATTCTAATTTTTAGAACAAATTCTATTTCATAATTTACGACGATGAGAATGTGTATATTGCAGCATAGCCTACAAATATAATTATTATAGTCATTATTTATAATCAAACAAGTCTCAGAATCAGAATTCAATGTCCTCTTGCAGCACATCAAACGAGTCAACTTCCAAGTATATGCATATTATATTAATCATTTTCACGACTAGGCATCGCCAAAGC